GAGATGGAAGCCGCTGCATCAGCTAGCAACTTCCGCCGTCTATTTTAAATCACCAGGACACCGGTTACAATTTCTACGCTACCAGCCAGTCGAATTGCGAAGCAAATTGCACGAAGACCCCCAACCTTTACAGGTGATTAGGTCTTTGGGCGGAGCACTTCGCTCTTCAATTCAACCGCCCAACACAGCCCGCTGTGGCACCTCCAGCCCCAATGGATAATGCTTGGCCCGTCTCCACAGCCCCTCAAATGAAGCAGCGATCCGAGATGCAATCTACTCTTTCTATCGCCACAAGGCTCCTGGTCCGGACAGCCTACCACCGGCTCTATTCAAAGATGGCGGGAGTGTACTTGTCAGCGAAGTCCTATCGCTGTTCACGAAAGTTTGGACTGAAGAGAAGGTTCCAAACTCATGGGGAGAATCAGTCATCGTTCCGATCCACAAGAAGGGTTCCCGCGACGATTGCTGCAACTACCGTGGAATCTCGTTAATCTCTGTCGCATCCAAAATCTTCGTGTCGGTTCTACTTCGCAGACTTTTAAAGACTAGAGAGGAGTTTTCCCGAGAAGAACAAGCCGGATTTCCTCCAGGACGCGATTGCATCAACCAAATCTTCACGCTTCGCCAACTTCTCGTACTTCGTCAAATACAACGGCCGCCAAAAATTGTAGCGTTTTTGGACATCCGAGCGACATTTGATTTAGTAGATAGATCTGCGTTGTGCAACTGTTTACTAAGGAAAGGTGTACCCGACAAGTTTGTAATCATTCTGAAAGAACATTACAGTCACACCTCGGGCAAAGTCAGGGCTTACGGCACGCTCTCTTCTTCATTTGCTGTGACCAGTGGTGTGCGCCAAGATTGCCCTATTTCACCTTTCCTCTTCAATTTCGCCATCAAATATGTTGTCCAAAGAGCACTGGAAGGTGTCCAGGACTGCTGTGTTGAGCTCCATCCTGGAGACAGTCACGGACTTGGACTACACCGATGATATCGCCTTGCTGGGGGACGACCCTCAAACCGTCCAGAGTGCTTTGGACCGCTTAGCGATGGAGGCGTCTAAGTACGGCTTATGCTTCACTCCGGGAAAATGTAAAACGCTGCTCCAGGATGGGCAGGTGCCTGAACCCGTGCTCAGGATAGCTGGACATGTTCTGGAGCAAGTCCCTTGCTTTATATATCTAAGGAGTTGCATCACGGGTGGTGGCGGTGTTTGAGACGAAGCCTCACAACGGATTGCAAAGGCCCCTCTTGCATTCGTCAAACTGAGACACCTATGGCATCATCGTGATGTCAGTCTCAAGCTCAAAGGCCAGGGTGTACAATGCTTACGTCCGTGCAGTATTCCAGGACGGCTGTGAGACTTGTCCCATTCGCTCGGAAGACATGAAGCGGCTGTCAGTCTTCGACAATCGCTGTTTACGAAGGATTGCTCGGGTGTGATGGTAACACCATGTAAGCAACGTAGAGGTGCGAGACCTAGTGCTTGGAGCGAATAGTGCCAGTCTTCAGGACGTTATTCTCCGACATCGTATGCGTTGGCTCGGGCACGTTCTGCGCATGCCAGCCAATCGCCTTCCACGTCAAGCGCTATGTGCACTCCCAGAGAGCGGTTGGAAAAGTGCCGCGGTGGACAGCCAATGATGTGGAGAAGGAGCATGACGAAGGGAACCTCAAGTTTGGCGGCAGTCGGACCAGTTCGCCTTTCAGGTTGGGGACCACGAGATGCTGAATCGTAATGGTTGGAAACACTGGACGGCATGGCCGGCAACAGACATCAGCGGCGTCAATGTTGTTCTGTCATTATATCCCCCCTTTTAATACACACAAAAAACACAAAACAAAATATTCAAAATGGGGTGTGTAAAACCAAAAGAACATTTCCCTTTTCTCATCGTAGTTCATGTTCCTAACTTCTTTATTTTTTCTTCTGCCGTGGTTCTGATGGCACAATGTCTAGTAACAGACTGTGAATATATATCCGCTGCCGTCGCCCATGGCTCAGTGACATAAGTCACTGACTCGAAAGAGTAAGGTCGTGGGTTCGAATTCGGCAGGATTCGGCGGGTGCAGGTTACTGACGAGTCCCAATAGGACGAAACGGCCGACTAGCGCTTTCCTGGATGTTGGGAAGTTCTATATCGTCGTCCTTCGTTCACAATCAGGCATACCTATCCAGTACCACAGATGCAAATCCAGTTCACCAGCATACCGATGGTGACACTAAAACCTGTGCACAACAATTCAGTGTGGAGTTATTCGTTTTCATTCTCCGGTGGAGCGGAATAGATTGTAGAGTGAAGAAACACCACCCGGTCGGGTTTAAACTTGGAAACAGAAAAGTAGCGATCGCTTTAGTAGCCAAGCACCTGGCCGACACAGGGCACGCCACAATGTCAGCTGTTACGTTCGAAATTATTTATCAGGCTCCGACAAACCGGTCGAACTACGTCTGCAAACGACTTTAGAAGCGACTATAGAAGCCGCTGAGGCAACTGCGCCCCGGCTGTATGAACCGGAGCCATACGTTCAGAAGAAGCTAATTGGAGGATTGGGAATACTCTGACCCAAACGGGTGGTGACCTCTGACCCACAAGGTTATAAGCAGTCGGTTGTCGCAACCTAGCCGACAGCACTGTCATCATCCAGTTAACTTGTCCTGGGAGTAATGACTTGTAATGTCTATCCACATATTTTGATTTGCATATAATTGCATAATCCTGAAGATGAATTACCGTACATATGTTCTCTTATCCTGAATTATAATCTCCCAATAACCAATTTGCGACTTGCATGGTAACCTCCCCTTTTACAAGCAGTGCGCGCCAAGTTTTCAATGTGTCTCGTGGTATCCTGACACATTGGAATGTGCTGTGCCACCACCAAGGTTAACTAATATTCATTTTACGGCTGACGCTGTGGGGAGAAAACTGTTAATTATGTGTCCACATAGCTATCCCAGAATTAATGATATTCGCTCGAAGAGGCTTATCGTAGCAGCTAAGGAATTGGCTGAACGATTAGCGTGATTCTTTCAGCGCTACCTTGACGAGTCACAAGTACCTACACCATGGGAACATGGGATAATAATGCCAATTTATAAAGGAGGCGGTCGTTTCGACACAGTCAACTACTATCAAGTAACTTTTTTTCCAGTTCTTGCGGAAGTCATGGTGGAGATCACTGTCGACGCTTTTATGTCTTACATTGACGAACTTGTCTACCTGTGGTAAGAGCAATATGGCTTCCGCCGTAACCGATAGTGCACTACCCATCTACTGTTAGCACGAGACAGACCGAAACAGGGGATGTTGGTGAAGGGGTTGATGATGTCTACCTCGACTTCTCCAAGGTATTCGACTGGCTGAAACATTGCATCCTGCTAGCCAAGCTTTATGGAGACGGCATGTTTGAACCCTCCTAGGTTGGATCAACAAGTTAGTTTTGCACAGGTGTTTGGAATTGAAAGTAAGCGGATCTACATAAATTCCTATGCACGTGGAATGCGGTTTGCCACGAGATTCTTTATTGGAAGCCCGTCTGCTATTGATTTTATTAATGATCTAGTGAGTTTAATCACTTAGCATTGGTTACTCCACACCGACGACATCAAGGTTTGGTGGCCAATCAAAGCTCCAGACGACTGCGTACAGCTTCGAAACGACCCTTAGAAGATTTATAAATAGTCAATCCACAATCGTCTTCAGTCTAACATGACTGAATGCGGAGTACTCCATCTACGACAACGAATAGTTCACACATATAAGCTGGGTGACCAGGATCACCAGCACTGTTTTCGTGAAGATCTCGGTGTTCTGGTTTAGGAAGTTCTTGGTTGCGCGGAGCCATATAGACTAGCATCAAAAAGGAGAACAAAGCTTGGGCAATTTAAAGAGTGCTTTTGGTCACTTCGACCAATCTATTTTTCCTATTTACTTTCTGCATGCAAACGCCCGCAGGTGGAATGTGCGATTCAAGCATACCAGCTATGGCTAAAGCGGGATCTCACTATCTTGGATATTCTACAACGCCTGGCCACCAAAACTGTCAAAGAGATATATCACTTGCATTATGAACAGCGCCTGAGTATTCCGGGGATTTTCGGTGGACGCTATCCGTATGTGCTTGGTGACCTTATCATGCTTTACCAGATGTTAAGCAAATCTAATCATTAGTGTTACCAGACGCTTAAGCTCAGCCAGAACAACAGACTGAGAGGCCACTGTCTCAAACTGCCGGAACAATACATCCGGCTGGAATGTAGACGGAGTTACGTGTTTGCCAGGTAGGGAATTCACTTCCAGAACCTGTTATTTCAGCCCCCTACCTTATGTGTCCAAAGATGGTGTTAATAATGGGTTAGCCGCGTTACACCACACCATATAACATCCACGAACCGTACGCACATACGGAAAACAAAACTGCATGAGCGCACACCGTTTCTCTAGGGAAATCAAAAGTCGTGACATTTTAAGTTGCGTGAGACCATTTGTGAACCAGTTAGATGGACAAACGTTTACCCGACAATTTTACTGTTTTTGGTTTCGTTATTTATAGACATAGGGACATGCTAAGCTTCGGCTATTTTGTCCACACTATACCATTGGCCACTGAGAGTAGATAAGACCTGCTTTGTACTCGTTTTAACAAATGATGGCATTCTCAGTGTACTTGATGTCAGTGGAAAAGGCACACATCCATCCAATCTGCAGCTGCCTGGTAGCGGCTGGGACGCGGCTCACTGCTGAAGCAGTTGCTGCAAGTATTAAAGACATATCCCTTTTTGGTATATGAAATTTCCACCCAGGAAGTTTGCAATGATGAAAAGTTTTATCTCAGAGCATCCCATTATATTAGCTATAGAATTATGCTAAAAACTTACCTAACGTGTGATATTTATGGAAGGATTAATTGCTGTTAGCTGAGTATGGTTAATTTTACCCCAAGGAACCAACATCTAGCAACTTCGTAGGATTGGCCTCGGCATCATCTATACTTACCACAGAATTTTGTCACGAGGGTGCTATCTTCTGAAACAGAGTTTCTTGACGCTGCCTCTTCTAGTAAAAGTTTTGACGCTGCTTTGAGGTCTTCCAGAAGTTGTTCCCGCTTTGCATGCGTTGACGTGCCATCTGCCAATCAACACAAAAGTGAAATCAACTAGAGTCGAAAAGGCTAAGGCTGCCACGCTCCAACTTTTAAACGTACGAAAAAGTGAAATGTGGAATAAGCGGGAGGAAATTTGAAAAGATGATAATTCTTCTTTGGGCACTGTGGCAAAGAAGTAAACAGCGTCGCATGAAGACGTTGTAAATATTTTTATACAAATAATAAACAGCAGGTCGTCACTCTAGGCGACTATCGCTCTTCTCCACGCCCCATCACTAATGGGGTCATTGAAGTGAGCATGCTAGGTCCTCAACTGTCCCTGCTCTACATCAGTGACATCACCATATCCCTTAAATGTGGCCGGCCCCTCTTATTCACTGACGATATCAAGACCGTCTATACGTTCCGGCGGGACGAACTTCACGGAATGCTACTGCACATTCAAGATGACTTATATTCTCTCGAGCCCTGATGCCACAAGTGGACGATGAATCTATCGGCTAAGAAATCAAGTAGCAAGTCATAGGGCTGTTTCATCCCCGAAGGATCTATTCTACTTAACAATGAACACGTCCCTAAACAGTTACCCACGTGTGATCTCGGAATTTGGTGCTCATGTATCAGAACCAAGTAGTACGTGCCAGACCACCTGTGTTTAATATACCCAGCAAAATTCACACAACGCATGTTAGAATTGAGCTCTTTAAGCTAAGCACTCACCCCATCCTCGAATACTGCAGCATAATATACGGTAATAGGATAAACAGCGACAGAATTGCCGTGGAAGACCGGCAGAGGTCATTTACTGAACATCCGATTGGTGCGCACTCTGTAATGAATTATCGAGACCGTCGCGATAAAATTCAAATCGAACCACTTTGGATTCGAAGGATGAAACATAACTGGTTGGTTCTTTTCAACTGGTCTGCCTAAACTCGAACGGCTACATAGCTCAACACGAGAGCTTCGAAACAAAGATTATACACTAGATATACCGTAGACTGTGACAAGGATGCGTTCAAACGTTTTCTGGTCAGATTAACTATCTATGAAATAAACTGCCACTCACACTCAGATCATGTGGCAATGTGACAACATTTAGTTGCAAACTCTCAAGTCAACTTGACCAAAATAACATGATGACCATATTCCCATGGGAAGAATCCCACGCTGAGGCTTTCCAAGAGGGGTCAAAAACCATCTAGACACACATGTTGCCAAATCTTGATTTTCGCCTCAATCACAAAAACGCAATTACATAAATTGCAAGTTAAGTCAAGTCAAAAATACGCTTTATGAACCTCAACGGGTTCATTTTCAGCATTTACACCGCCACTGAGGCTACCTGGATGATATGATCAATTTACATGCTTGGGGAGTATAATGGGGAAATTGCACAACTGTTACGCCAACAACCGCTCGTGATGCATGCTAGTGACTTTTGCTCTGTCAACAAGCAAACGTGAGAGATTGGGCAACAATGTGTTACGATACTATGACGTGCGGGAGAATAAAATGCTTAATTTCGAACATGTAGAAAAGAAGAGAGCGTTTTGGAAAGACCATTGTGTAGTGGAGGAAATCGATCAGTTAATATCTTAGAAGAAAAATCATTGTAGGCATCAAGATGTCTAGAAATAATCAACTCAACTAAAGAATCTCTGGACAAGGCGCTGCATCTAGAAATGTGCTTTATAGATCGCACCAATAAGATGTAATCTTTCTGAAGCAGTCCAGGGAAAATGACGGGAGGGGGGTATAAACAACAGGAAAGAATGCAAGAGGTCGAAAACCTGAATATTAAAGTACGCGGTGCTGAAAGCACGTTAAGTCTGAGGGCATAAAAAGAAAGGTTTCTGACTTTTTGAAAAGTTTTACAGACCTGCGTGAACCAAGATAGGTTCTGGTACAAAAAGACTCCGAGATACTTGACGGTGGAAGAGCTGGGTATGGGATTTTCATTCACAGTAAGTGTGGGGTAGAAACATCTGGGAGACTGCAGCTTGTGCCACGGAGAAAAGAAAATATTACATCCCTGCATTTAGAAACATTAAGCGTTAGAGATTTGGATGAAGACCATGCCACCAGATCTTCCAAGTTACGTAGATGTGATGAAGAATCCTGGCTAGTGGGGGCCAGATGTCCCAGCACAACATCATCAGCATACCTACACTCTATAAACGTGGTTTGTATAGGGAGACGTTCAACATACAAGGAAAATAGAAAAGGTGCTTGGATCGCTCCATTCAGAACACCACGGTCGGCATGGAAGACAGAGGATTACTTACCTCCCAAGTTGGTGAAGCGAGTACGATCTGATAAATAGTCACATAACAGAGTTCACACACCCGGGTGAACTCCATATTCGTATAGCACGTTTAGAAACATTGACCTATCCAGGCTTCTAAAGGCACTCAAATAAAGCAGGAAAACAAGCCGTGCGGATTTTCAATTTGATCTAATCAGAGGCTATAGAATGAACAACATATGCCACTGCATCGAATGTGGAGCGTTTGGGTTTATATGCAAACTGGTAGATATCGTCCTCAGGAGCGACTGAACAAATCCGCGGAAGTGACTGTCTTTCGAAAAACTTTAGAAGCACAGATGTACATGCAATCTGGCGATAGTTTTGAGTCCATATTTTGGTACTGAGATTATACTGGCCGTTCTTCAAATGTCCGGAATCACACGCATAATGTGATATTTGTTAAAGAGATCCGTTACAGGCAGTGTGAGAGAATCAGCACACTTCTTCAAAGCTATTGGTGAGAGAGCATCCAGGCCACAAGCTTTGTTTGCTTTTAATCATTTGAGTTCCTTGTGAACGTTGCTTTAATCGAAAGGCGGGAGTAAACTTGAGCTAATGAGAGAGGGCGAGGAAGATGGGCTTAGTGAGGCGGAACTAAACTCCGAATTCAGTTTGTCCACCTCCACTTTACTGCTCTGGCTGCGAACGCTCTTACCACAGAGTTGCCTCAGAAGTTCAAATATTTCGTATCACCCAAGCAAGAGTATGGTTAGGTTTTTGCATATTGATCTATTCTGCCGCATACACGGTTTGTCGGACCAAAAGAAACGCATTATTATTATTATTATTATTATTATTATTATTATTATTATTATTATTATTAGACTACATCCGATTCACTTGGGTCAACTATGGTTCCTGGCATCAGTTTTCCGAATTGCCTGTCACTGTGACTGAGAACAGCCACAGGAAGCCTACGCTCACAAAAGGACCATAGGTGGCTTGCATCACATAAGTCAGCTCCAGTGAAAACTGGTTGGAATAAGAATGGTAGGCATGTGGATATGAGGCATGATTGACTCTGAGCAGATCCATACTGCTTCAGCATACAGCCCATTCACTTACATAGGATGAACATGACTGCCATTTGTCCGTACGCCCACCAATTTACTCATGTCAACATTCATGACTGGAAACTTTTCATGGCATAAATGCCCCACTTGGCTGGATGTATTGGCTGGAGCATCCTCAGACCGACGTACTTTGGGTATTGGAAATGGAATATATCATTTAGGAGCACAATATCGGTGTTGTGGGGGTCCCCTCGACTTTCGAGATTTACCAGTTGGGGGAGGTCCGCTGAAGCTAACTTGACTATGAAGCGATAAAACACCTGCGAAGATTCGGCTCCTATACCTTGTCCACGTCGATGTTAGAATTGATCGTGGATGCATGCTTTGGTTCGATTTTTGAAACGTGTGAATTCTCTAACCCATCTGGCATATAGAGCCATCAGTCACGGCATTAATCTAAAGCTGAATGAACAATATGTTTTTCCAGATATTAGCAGAATTACTTCTCCCTTCTGGTATGCAAACCCTGATACGTGCACTCAGTCTTGACCCTTTCTTCTGGTACCTTGGTTGTCGCAAACAACCTTTCTGCATTGATCCTAGCTCCCAGTACCTTGTCACATAAACAGTGATAATCTGGACTGTCTCTCGCTGCGATTCCCCCTTGCTGAAATCCTACAGCACACAGGTGTACGGTAAGCAGTACAGGAGTGAGCGTTTATATTATTCGCGTAGGGAACGATAATTATGACTACTTTTCTCGCTGTTACGTTGAAAACATCCAAGTCGCAAATACCCTTTTTCAGGAATGTCAGCACATTTGTGGAATTCGTGTTTTGCCTTTAGAATATCACATTTGCGCAGCTTCACTGTTACGTCTTTACTTGACGCCATGTACATTAGTTGGTGTTAAATTGGCATCCTGATGATCTTACGGGACTTGTAAGCAGTGAGGTTAGTACCCATAAAAAGCGTGGCGCATACTTCATTGTACAATTATTGCCTACAAACCGGTTCAAAGTTGTTATTGCCCTCTAGTTTATTGCTTCTCTTTTGTGGTTCATTGGTGCATAGCGTGGCACAGTTACCCATACAGGAAAGGTGTGGGTATTCAACCGTGTTCTTTTACAGACCATAGACTATTCGCGGCCTTACCCACACTGTCGGTGCCCTCTTGTTGCTTTTGACACTAAAGGCGCATCTGTCAAGAGGATCGGTGTTAACTTCCGTGGTTCCAAGGAAAGCCTTAGCTATCTTGTTATTGTAAGATCATGGACGAGACTGGTTAAGTTCGGTTCACCCAGGTCCGTAGGGGATACTTACGGGGCATGGAAAATCGCCGTCAACTCCTGCGGTTCCGCTTATTGTGCGATTTAGCCTGTACCAGTTTTGGCCACGGTTACTGGCACACCTAGTACAATTATTACTATTTCTTTCACAGCAACCGTAAAGCTGCGTGATCGACCCGAGACTTGGGCTTGAGCCCCCTAAAAAAGCTACGGCATCACGTGTTGGCCGTATTCTACTCATTCTTTAATGCAGCAAGAAAAGGACTTGTTTGTACTTGGGCCAACTACTTATTGGTATTACGACATTTTCCGATGGGTTACGCATATTCCATAAAAGGAATCAGTATACTGCGAGGGGCACTCGGTCCCCTAGGCAGACTCGTACCGGTGTCGTCAGATTACAGGGCAGG